TATGGAATATTTATGTACACTAGTAAAATAACTCATAATAAAACATTTGAAAATATGTATTAATACATAAAATGTGCAGATTTATTCAACGAGATCCCTGTAGTTAATACAGCTGAAGAGGTTAATACTCTTAATCCTTCCTTTATATATAATCCTTATATAACTTATATATGAAATTAATTTTATTATTAATATTTTACTATTTTTATATCAATATGTTAATATTTTATTTTATTAATAAAGGGTGTTCCAATAACGTGGACTGATTTCAAATGTGAATTAAATTTAAGCGTCTAATGAATTTTTTTCTTTTTCTTTTATTTGGCCGACATTTGGGCGATATTATTTTTCACACATAATTGCTATAACTTAAATAACACGATCCAATAGATAAATAAATAAATTTTCACTGACTTTGCTGACTTTGATCCGTCTTAATGAAACACCCTTACATATAATCCGTCTTAATGAAACACAAGCTATTATTATTCAATATAATAAATCATAATCTTTTATATATATATATATATATATATATATATATATATATATATAATCCTTCCTTTATATATACTTCTCAGTTTTTATTCAACATTTAAAATGAAAACATTCAGTAAAATAAAAGAGACACTACCTTACATTACTTGATGTCGTTTCTGCTATTTTTAGAGTTTTTTTCTATTTTTATTATTTTAATATGGTGTAGAAATTCCAATTCTCAGTCGTAACAACCAATTGGAGGTGAAATTGCTCTATGGAATAATAAAATATTACCGTAGACCACCATGTCCATATAGACCTCAGTTGAGAATCACTGATCTAGTTGTTTGTGACTGCATAATCTGAAGGCCCTGTGGTAAAAATCTATGATTAATCTCATTTTATATTTTCATGCTGTTGGAATAGAAATGGATGGCATTTTTATTAGTATGTTTTCAGCAGTTTTTTTTAAATCCAATCACAGGTAAAAAATGCCTAGTCTAAAACATATTATCTCTTTTTTTACTATTAGTATCATGTAACTATAATGTTATATGTTGGCTTCAATCTGCAAATTGGTAATAATGGTTGATATGAACTTAGTCATCAGTAATCTAATATTGGCTAAACAAAAGCAATAGTCATACAAAAGCTAGGCTTATCAATGCGAAAATAAAGAAAACGGAATAAAATTAAAGAAATCTCTGCGAACGCGTGACATTGTATGATCTATAGTATCCTCGCTGTGGATACAATAAAAAACATTACATGAGAAAATGAAAGGCACTTATTCTGGCTATATATTCGAGCTTGACGGAATAAATTCTTGCCTTTTCTATTTTATACCCGGATGTATAAACAGGCCTCATCGCGTAAATTATACACTGGGTATAAAACAGTTCAGCCTTGAATAACTCTTATATACTCTGTGCGATGGGTAAATTGTCGTCTAAATTACGCAAAAATGAAAATAACACTGATATCTCATTTAAACATATATTTACCAAAATTGCAGACAAATATTTTGAAATAAGAAAGAGTACACGCAATCAATAAATTCGCCATTGGTTTCAACCACAGCTTCCAGACGACTTCGGAATCTCCTGAAACTCTCCTGGACGGTCTTCTTGCTTAAGAAGGTGAATGCTACTATAATGTCTGCTTTCAATTTATCTTTGGTTTTACAAAGAGTTTTGGTGGTCTCTCGCTCAACTGTGGCCCACACATACAAACCATAGAGATTGCAGGCTGGGGACTTATGTGGCCAGATGTAAAAAGTGGTGTGGTCGCAGAAATTGTCTGAGGGTCATTATAAGGTTCTCCTGCTTGTGTGGCATGATGCAAAGTGCTGTTGGTAGACATAGGGTCTTCCAGCAGCCACCCACTTGACAGAGGGTAGCACTATCTGACTAAGGACCTGATTGACTAGGATGGATCGTTATCAGTCATGGCCTGAGTGCCACCAACAAATTTGGGGGTTCTTTTCTTATCAGAACGATCAAAATAAGTTTTCCGAGCTGCTGTACCTTCGTAATACACATTAGACGCATTCGCACTGTGCTCAGATTGACACCCAAACATTCTGAAATTTTCGTATTGGAGTTCCGGCGCGAATGACAAGCAGTACAGTATGTCGGTTAAAATTTCTGATGAATTGCGTTATGGTGCTCTTTTTTTCCCGGACGGTACGCACCTGTCCCTACTATACTGTGCAATCGACAAAATCAAAAAGAAACAACGCGCATGCGCAAAATTAAAAATATAACATGGCGACAATTTACCTACCGCACTCTCTATACGCTAGCATGAGAGAAGACACTTCGATGTGGTGTAATGGTTAGCGGGGGTTGTCTTGCTAGATCAATTACGACTAACTAATGGGATCGATCCCCTTTGGGCGTACATGCGGTTTTGTCACACCTAAGCGACGCTTAGTCAATCACTATAAGTTTGAGCATTTCGACACGAGTTAATGGTTAGAAAACTCCTCTCGTTTGTTCAGTTATGACAAAGTGGTGAGTTCGATCCTCACTTGGTGCTCTATACTTGCGATCTTGTGCTACACCTAAATTACACTTCGTACAAAAATAGTCGATTCGATGTGGTGTAATGATTAGTAACCATGTCTCCCAAGACTGATTAGCGACTGGGTGATTTATGCTTACGGACTTGTGTTACAACTACAACATGCTTAGTAATAATAGACACAAAGACAAGAGCGAATGGTTTTACAAGATTGTTTCACTAGATCAATTAAGACTGAGTTAGTTTCGATCTTCATTGGGTGCTCTCTTTACTTGCGAACTTATGCCATATCTAAACCACCCTTCGTAATAAAGAAACACTCCAACATGGTGTAATTGTTAAAAAGCTTGTCTCGCGGATAAAATACAGCTAAGGATTGAGTTCGGTTCTTACTGGATGATTCATATTTACGGCTTTACGTTGCATCAAATCTAAGCTCAGTAAATCAGCATACACTGGTTTGAGGGCATACACTGGGCTGTTCCGTCTGCCGGATATTTTTATTTGTTCATTAAAACTCTTCCGTTAGCTAATGGAATCACGATATTCTGCAAAAAAAAATCTGTATTTCCTGGATGAGATGTTATCATTATTTACATGCGGAGTCATTTTCATCATGTGAATTTTGATCCGATCGTGTCGTAGCAGCAACAATCATCAGTAGGCAAGTTAAGTATAAGGTTCCAATTTATCAACTCAGAAATCTCCCAGGGTGCAATAGCCTAGTGCCTTAAAGCTTCAATCTAGTGTCATAGTAATTGCGAGTTCAATCCCTACACGGGTGGTGTGTACTTGGACACAGTGGAATCTTCGTGAGCCATAACTGAGCAGTACTAAATAAATAACGAAATATCCCTGGACAACGAAACGATAAAAATATGATTGTTTTCGTTCCGCCATAAAGTGTTCATTTTTAAATTCCCTGGGGGGTTAACCGGGTCGACAATCACCTGATGAAGGCCAGCTAGGAAGTAAACCGAAACGTTTTTGATAATAACAATAAAAATTGTGACAATAATCGGCGTGTACATAATGTAAACAATTACAAAAACTTAGTTCATACGATTGACGTTTTAAGACAAGAAACTCAGATGGTAATTTTAAATGAAAAAAAGACGTAAGTACAGAATTGTCTTGAGTATTTTATGTCACTCGGAACCAAGGAAAACCGGTGAGTTTCAAAGATGGTAAATGAAGGCACAGAGTCACTTTTCAATTTTTAAGAAACAATTGAAAACTAATTAAAAAAAAATTGCTGTAAACATATCATCGTTTCCTTAGAGTTACATTAAAGGAATGTATTTTCCGATTAATTCAGATAGGCTCAGGATTTCTAAGGTAATTTTATGTATGTTTGCTGAAAACACTGGCTTCCTTCACGCGCCCAAACGATACACGTTTCATATAAAAAGAGTTATTTGACCCGTATTTTCTTTATTTTTTTATTTGGGTTTTAAATCTAGAAAATACGACTGGAAAATGCAAACAAATATTGAATTATGAAAGTCTTTTATGCTCTTCTTCATCATCATCATCATCATCATATTATTATTATTATTATTATTAGAGATACCCGTAAAAAATTCAGTTTACTTTTTTTTTCTTAAATCTTAAACTAATGACAGAATACGCATTAATGGCAAAAGACGCATTGTAACAGCGAAAGATTTCTTCCTAAACATAAAGAAAATATTAAAGAACCGAAATATTTCTTTAGAAAAAAAAAAGGAATACTGAACTGTTACGTTACACCAGTACTCCTATGTGACAGTGAATACTGGACCATCTCCTCACAAATGAAAATATTTTTAGGTAATAGAAATGTTGCTCTACAGAAGGATGCTCAGAATTCCATGGACTGAACAAGTGAGCAACCCACGAAGCTTTAGAGAAAATGGAAACAAAAGGATACTTATACTTAAAATCCGAAAGATACAGTTGAAATTTCTAGGGGGCATAATAAGGAAAGTGGGATAGGCCATATTAAAAGCAGGAAGTATAGAAGAACTCTGAGCATAATCTACTTAACGAGCTTTGTGTAAATGGCTGGCAAAACAGAGTTTAGGAGAGATAAGAAAAAGACGAAATCTACTAAGGGCTACAAAGAACAGGAATGGCACGATAGCCAAAGTCATGAAGATACACGGTACACAGAAGGAGAAGGAATGAAGAATTAATGAGAAATATTAGGTTGGTGCAAAAAAATAATGACGTAATAATGTCGTTTTTGACGTTACGTCAAAAACGACATTATTACGTCATTATTTTTGCACCAACCTAATAGTTTTGAAATCGTTAATACTTACCAAAGCAGGAAACCAAGTGAGATAAAACAAGATCAGAATGACGATAATCATCCAAGATAAAGCGATGAGAACAGATTTCTCTGCGTGTAGTTGAGCTTTTCTGAGGGTGTCATTGTTCGTAGGATCTGGGTGCTGTATCGGCTTGTTGCTCGTGTCAGACCACAAAATGCATAAAATCCGACTGCTTACTGCACTCGCCAGCAAGAAATTGCCGTAACCTACCACCAGAAAGACAACGTAGAACACGGACTCCTGCTGACCATTTGACGGCGTCGAAATCCAAGCTTTACATATTTGGCCGTGGTTCTGCATGGCTGACGGTGCAAGGTCCATAAGCGGAAGTGACGAGACAGCAAAGGAAACAACATAAATTCCAAATATGGCCAGCCGAACACGATGACGTTTTGCGACCGGCGCCGGTGATGGGAATGGTATCAAATTTGAGTTAAGCGCTCGTAACCGGTCTATGCACAAGCTTGTAATGATAAACATTCCGACAAGCTGTAACCAGATGGTGGTTACTTGATAAAACTCACAGGCTGGTTTGCCTCCGTACCAGGAGTCACTGAAGTAAGAAAACAGTCCCACGGGGGTTGGTATCACAACGGAAAGAATATCTGTGATGCTAAGGGCTACAATCAGTTCGTCCATCACAAGGCGTTTTTCAGGTGGTCGCCATTTTAAAATGACGACCAGCGGAAAGGCGTTAAATACAATCATGGCTACCTCAACAAAGATGCTTAACACACCTGATATGTCCTGGAAGGCTCCGATTTTATGGTTGACCCCAGCCGGCAAGTGACTTGGGCTGACTGTCGAAAACATTTTGCTGGGTCAGTATGTATTAGTTTATTTTCGGTTTTGGAAGTTTCATTTGAAATTAATTGTCGTTCTGGCTATTTCTTTCCTGAAACGCAGACCCCTGAAAAAATGTAAAAAAAAAATGGTATTAGATTTTTACAAATTTAACACTGAGTTGGAATAAGTTATAAACATAGATATAGACTGATCAATAGCAAAGCTAATCAATAGACAAAAAACTAAAAGAATTTGTTTACGTTTATATTAATTGCCACATTCTTTTGTTGAAGAATGAATAACACTGATACAATATTTGACAATGTACAAGCAGCATGTCGGTTCATAAGCTTCAAAGTGGAACTCTAAGCAGATTTCAAATTCAAGCTTAATATGTTTTCTACATATAAGCTTTGGAAAAGTATGAATGCTATCCTCGTTGTCATGGATTAAATAGTCGGGTAGACTAAGCACTTGAGAACTTGGGTTGCTGTCTGTCTAGGAGAATGAGAGCTCAGAATTCAAAAGCATGGAGAAGGCATGAGAAAACCATTGCTTTATATTTCCCAATCAATAATGTAATTAAAGAAAAATTTTAACTCCAGATGATGAAGGGAAATGACATTAAAAAAATAATAAGTCAGAAAGAAAGTTCTGTCGTATTTTTAAATAATCAATTTGAGGATACTTTTTCAATACTTATGGTAAAATAATTATTAATTTTACGTTCTAATCATTTTTTCTTTTCATATTAATATCACAGTGAGAAACTTTTGTATCGATTCTAGGTACTGACCAGATTCGGTGAGTTAGACTTCAGTCATCGTACGGGAACCAATGTTTCTCCGTGATGTCGCCGTAAGCCTAATATTTTTTTGAATTTATTTGTATATATATATATATATATATATATATATATATATATATATATATATATATATATATATATGAATTATTCACACAAAACTATGCAAAAAAGGTTAATGATTTTAAATGGCGAGACATCCATATATTCAAATAGTACACAAAACCTTAATATGAATGAATTGATCCTTGTATATTGTTATTTTACACAATCGTCTGTTCATACTAGGTATATATAGATCTTAGTATATAAATGCTATTGAAAAATGAGATATTGGTTTTTATTTTTGAATAAATGTTTGCGTTTATATACAAATTATTTTACTGGTAAATTTTACTGTCAATATGAACTATATTGTTCAATAATACAGTAATGTCGCACTTATAACCAAAAGACGCACATGGATATTATATAAACGCAAACAAATACATGAATTATTCACACAAAACTAATGCAAAAGGTTAATGATTTTAAATGGCGAGACATCCATCTCGCAAACAATTCAAATAGTACACAAAAACCTTAGATCCGTTATGAATGAATTGATCCTTGTTCATATAAATTTCTGCCGTATTAGTTGTTATTTTACACAAGCTTTCGTCTGTTCATACAGACATCTTCAGGTATATAATAGATGTTGTTCTTGTTTTTTCTCTTAGTAATAAGAGGACATCGAAAATATATGTGTATTGTATCCGAAATGCTATTGAAAATGAGATATTGGTTTTTGAACGCGCCAATGCAACGCTGAGTTTGATTTTTGAATTTTTTTTAAATGTTTGCGTTTATACCAAATATGGTAATGAACAAATTATTTTACTGGTAAATTTTACTGTCAAAGTGGCATGAACTATATTGTTCAATAATTACAGTAAACTTATATGGATTTGCAATCAATTTACAAATAATGAATTATTCACACAAAACTAATGCAAAAGGTTAATGATTTTAAATGGCGAGACATCCATCTCGCAAACAATTCAAATTACACAAAACCTTAATCCGTTATGAAAATTGATCCTTGTTCATATAAATGCCGTATTAGTTGTTATTTTACAAGCTTTCGTCTGTTCATACAGACATCTTAGGTATATTAGATGTTGTTCTTGTTTTTTTTCTCTTAGTAATAAGAGGACATCGAAAATATATGTATTGTATCCGAAATGCTATTGAAAAATGAGATAGGAGCAATGAGTTTGATTTTTGAATTTCTTTTTTTAAAGTTTATACCAAATATGGTAATGAACAAATTATTTTACTGGTAAATTTTGTCAAAGTGGCATGAACTATATTGTTCAATAATTACAGTAATGTCGCACTTATTAACCAAAAGACGCACATGGATCGGTTATTATTATTATTGTAATTTAAATAACAAAAATAAGGAGATAGGTGTAAGTCAGTGAGTATTTTTACGCTATTATTAACTCAATACAAGGCTCAAGAACCACTCAATGTAAGTGCCTACTGAATGGGGTCGTTTTATGGACTCAAGAATTGTAGATTTTGAAGATGTTTAGAATAGATAACGGTTGACCCGAGACTTGAAAAGGTTAAGATTATAGTGATCGCGGCAGTATCCTTTTAGGAAGCTGTTCCACATTGCAGTGACGTTTGCGGATAGGTTTTCTGTATGAAACTTTCTTCTTACAAATGGAATACGAAGGGAATTAGGATGGTTCGCCTATGTGTATGTGGCATGGAGGGTCTTAGCAGTAAAGGTCTGAATTGTTGGAACTGAGGAAGATAGCTCGTCAGTACATTTTTACATCGAATTAACGACAGGCTTGCGATGTTGCGTCATTGGGAAGGGGTTATAAGGTGGAAAATAATTCATCACCTACAAGGACGCGTAAAGTTTTTTGAACTCCGGTGAGACTGGAAAGAGAAGATTAGGTAGCTCCAGCTATTATGTTATGGCAGCAATAGTCCTTTTTTCGACTGATCTGACTCAATTAAAATTAAAGCATGGCAGTTAGAATCATGTACTTTCTGGGGGGTGCGGGGAGATATAAGTACACGATCATTTTCTCAATGTAAGGTAACTTATAAAAGTTTTAAGTGACAATAAAGTTTTAAGGGGAGGAGGGTATGAATAGTTGCTATCACTGTAGTTATTCTGAATGATAGATTAGTACGAGCAAGATTATTAAAGTATCGATAATTATAAATATTGCTTTAATCATGAATTATTATTATTATTATTATTATTATTATTATTGTTGTTGTTGTTGTTGTTGTTCACCGCACTCAATATTATCGCGTTTATCGCTCTAGGATTTAGCTGATAGCGTTTTCATTATCAACAAGCGCCAACTTTTATTAATATCTGATCTTCATCATCATCGAAAGAGAAAAATGATCGAAAATAAAAAGCAATCTTCACAAGAGGTGTTTATTCAGTTTAAAGTAGTCTGACACAAGGTCATATGTGTAGGAGATAGTTAGATATTTGAACACATTGCACATTAGTAATGACCTAATAGAATGGTTCCTTAAACACTACAGAATAACATGGGCACCTAAATATTTATTAAGCTCAGCTTTTGCATAAACCAAAAGCGCGTAACGTCCTCTGAGAATCAACATCAGTACAAAACAGTAAATATAACTGTAGAATTATCCGTTTCCATACAAGAAACATTCGACATTCATTGACCGACCAATTAGCGTTACGGTTTTTTTTTTTTTCAGGACAATACGTTTCTCAAGTTAACCAACTCTTATCGCCCTAGGTTTGATGGGTGTTTTGTTTAAGGTAGTGTAGAAAATTAACATCTTGATTATGCCATGGTCTTCTCTTCTAGTTACATCTACAATCCATTTTAGTTGTTACTGCTGTTGGAAGTACTGCTGTTGGAAGTGATATGGTTTCTGTTATTTAGTAAAGTTCTTTATGAGTGATTCTGTAACACCAGTCTATGAGATCTGAAGTACTCACTCTCTTGGACCTAGTCTTCTTTCGTTTGAACGCATTTTTAATCATTAAGAAGAGAAAATGGTTATGGATAGCTGATAGTTTAGACTTTTCTGAACAAGATGGACTCCATAGATAATATCCATATGAGAGTCTCGATCTGATGAGGCCATTTAAGAACATGACTCGAGTTGTTTGGTTAATGTTTCAGGTTTTTTTAGTATCTTGCGTTGTTGGACGCGTTTACCGCTAGCACAGCCTATTCTATATTCAATTTCCTTATCTCCTGTACTAAATTTGTTAGCTCGTTAACGACTACTTCACAGCGAGGTTCCCACATATTCGTTTTCAAAATGTTCATAGCAGCAATAAACATAATTTGTTTCATAAATCCTACAGAGATTATATAAACAACTCGTGTATAATAATCATTGTAATCAACTGAAAGAAAGAAAGAAAGAAAGAAAGAAAGAAAGAAAGAAAGAAAGAAAGAAAGAAAGAAAAGAAACAAATAATAAAATCCTTCCAGTTCGTAAGCTAGTAATGGAAGCTTGACGACCAGCATCGATTAAGAGAAAATTGAAATGCAGAAGGAAGTCATATAATGGCATCCCGCTCATTTCGATATTGTTTGAAAAAATCGCATGAACGAAGCCAAAAAGCTAGGAATGGGTGAAAACGACATATTCAAAGGAAAGAATAAATGAATGAAATTATTTCTTCTCTTCTCTCCCTTCCTCATTCTTATTCTTCTTATTTTATTCTTCTCTTTTTTCTTTTCTTTCTTCTTCTCTTTCTTCTGTTGCTTATTCCTTTTCTTCTGTTTTTTTCGTTTTCTTCTTATTTTTTCTTTTTCTTCTTCATTTTCCTCTCCATATTCTTCTTTTTCTTCTTTTTGCTTCTTTTACTTCTTTTTCTTCTTTTTCTTTTTCGTCTTTTTTCTTCTTTTTCTTCTTTTTCTTTTCTTTTCCTTTTTATCTTTCTTATTCCTCTTCTTATTTTTATTTTTCTTCGTCTTTTTTTTTCTTTTTCCTCTTCTTTTTTTCCTCTTCTTTTTTCTTCTTTTTCTTTTCTTTTGCTTTTTATCTTTCTTATTCCTGTTCTTTTTTCTTCTTCTTCATATTCTTCTTCTTCTTCTTCTTCTTCTTCTTCTTCTTCTTCTTCTTCTTCTTCTTCTTCTTCTTCGTTTTCTTCTTTTTCTCCTTCTTCTTTCTCGTCATCTTATTTTTCTTTTCATCTTATAATTTATTCTTCTTTATTTTCTTCTCTTCTTCTTCTTCTTCTTCTTCTTCTTCTTCACGCACTACCTGCGGTATAAACCTTATGTAAGTAATTAGAGGTGAGTTGGTTGCTGAATTTCTGTACTAACCAACCCTATATTTAACCTTTACCTCCCAAATCTGTCTTTGGAAATGTATCGACAGGGTTGAAAGGCACGCGCATGTGTATGTATATGTGCTTGTGCGTGAAAGAAAGGGAGTGAGTGAGAGAACGGCGATAGAGAAGAGGAACAGAGAGAGACGTGAATGAAAATATGATAATGGGACTTCAAAAGTCGTGAATGATATTTATTGTGCTGAGTTTCGTATAATACAAGTGCAAATAGAAAGATCGGAAGCAAATGCGGAAGATTGCCTACCTTGAAAATCAGTATTCGAAATCTTGTTTTTTAGGTGGTCTTGAATACCGACCTACGGCATCCAATCGCAAATACGTCACTATCCAAGTCATGAAACAGACTTTAACACCCTCTCTTACACTCTCTGAACATTGTCGCGTCAAGATTTATGCAGTTACGGTTCTCCACAATTTCCTGCCGTCTATTTTTGAATTCCAGTAATACTTGTTCCTTTACAACCTCTTTTGTTTCAAACAGAGATTTATATAGAACAAATTCACCTGTTAGTGAAGATAATTTACTTTCGAACTAACATAGCGAATCGACACAAAATTCAATATTCATCAATTCTGTTTCGCCAAGTAGAACGTAGTAATTCAAGCGGGAACCATCGTGTTACTATCGAGAAATTATTAGCATTTTAAATTATAGTTCTCCAAGTACCGTGTGGTCCGAAAGTCTTGTCATCTTTACCAAAAAGTAATGAGAACAATATCAAAACGAGTAATACAGTAATACAAAGCACATATACTGGATTCAGTTTATTCGCTTTCATTAACTCTGCCACACATCGAGAAGGTCTGTATGAATACCGTTATTTTCGTGTAGGAGCACGTGTTAGCCATCTGAAATTTAAAATTATATTATGTAGGGGTGACAAGACTTTCGGACCAGGCTGTAGTTTGGCATAACTAATCTAGTGTCTTAACCATTATTTCCATGAATGGAAATAAATTAGAACTGCATGAACGCGTGCAAGATCGGGTTTCCCGGGGCAAGTTTCAACAAGAAAGATCATTAAAATCACAAAGAAAATTTCAGTCCACCTGAAATGGTGCGCAAGCGATATCTATGCAAATTCGAAGAAACCCAGAATAGATGAATACGCCATGCAATTTTTAGAACATTCAATAAACTAGACAAGGATTATCGCGAACAGGATACTGAAAAAAGGATACATACAGGGGCTAGTTTAGTATTTACTACAAAGGCGTAATTTTTATCAGTAACATGATTACAGAAATATAATTATTTGATCATACGAAACAAAAACTGTAATAATAACCAGCGATATTACGTTTGAGAAAAAATGATCAAAATATACGATGTAAAAAAGCATGTAAAATGAAACATGGAGTCAGCCAGAAATTTCTTTCATTCAGAGTCCATATTGCACATTTACAAATCTTACCATTCCTCCGTGCATTGAATACTTTTGCCATATCTGAACTGGCGCGCGGTCGCTATTCATCTCAAGGTTCTTGACAAAACCCAAAATATCTATAATGCAATCGATCCTGATTTGGCATCTCGAATTCCATCACTTTCTCACAGACGTAGCGTTTCTTCCCTCTGTCTTTTCTCCAAATATTTTCATGGCAACTGTTCTGGGAAGCTTTTTCCCTGATGCCTTGACTACATGAATTTAAGCTTGCTACTAAATTGGCATCTAGGTCCCACCCGTTTATTGCTGAAATACCTAAATGCAGCCGCCACATCTGCTCCAACAGCTTTTTTTTTTCGCACTTCCCACCTCTGAAACTCTCTTCCGTTTACGTGCTTCCTTCATAACTACAATCTTCAAAAATTTAAATGTAGAGTCAATTGTTATCGTCTATCTTCTTGAATCTCGTTCAGTTTTTATCCTTTCCACAATCCTCCCTATACTCAGTCATATCTCTCACTTTCACTCCCTGTAACACCGCCTGCGTACTAGTGGCCATTCTGCCTTGCTTGGGGTGAAATTATAAAATATCTCTCTACTACGACCCATGAATATTATATTGGGATCATTTTGGGCGTACGTCGTAACCCCGAAATTCATCAGCTGTCTATAAATGCTGCTTGAACCGATTTTAAGCAACTTGAACCCGATGACACGTGCATTACTCTCCTGGAATAACCCATTGTTTTCGGGGTATGTCGAGGCTATGAATGAGTGCAAATTGCCGCGAAACAGTGCAACGGAGCTGTCATCAGTAAATAAGGTGTTTAAGTAAACGCGTCGAATCAACTCATGACACGTGAACAGATCCTTCATTATTACGGAACCACCACTAGCATTTACGAGGCCGATTTTTTAAACATATTACCCATGGTGTCAAGAGTAATGCACCACACCTGATCTCCACCATTAGCCAAATAAAAAAGAAACAGAACTTTGATTCATCGGCTTTTGCGACATATTTCCAGTCCGTCAAAAGCGATTTCACAGGTGAAGTAATTTTTCCTAGTGTTATAGTCTTAACAATGACACACCTTTATATCTTTTGTCATTATCTCCAATGGAAACGTCTAGTACCTCCAGCATTAAAAGTGAATGTGATCCAAACCAGTGGCACTTGTCTATTAGCGCATGAAAATCTCGAGAGATTCCTCTTGTCATAATCGCTGAGGACCGATTGCCTGCCACTGTGTTATCTACGGTGGGTGGTTATACCTTGTAAAATGTATTTCCCGCTAGATACGTTGCACTGTAGATTGAGGCAATGTTTGGCACTTCCTATCATGCCCCGTTCGAACACCGATATTCCACGCTTAAACATGAGAAATTTCATGTTATCAACCTAGAGTGGCGCCACCAACCATTGCCTTCCCATACTTCTTTTCCATGACTTTGTTACGTTAAAACGATTTATGAAAGATAAGTTTAAGAGAATGCAACCGTCTTCTGAATCGACTGAACTAAATCCAATCTAAGAGAAATAAAACTCAAAATTAATTAAAAAAAAGATCACAGCTTGAAGAGAGGTGGGATTTGTCCGGTTATGTTGCACTATACACACAAGAGATGCAGTGGCTGAAATATATGTGGCGTCCCTGCAAGCTTAATGGGTTATTGGAGTTGTAAATGGCTTTGAGCTGGTTGATCACCCTTCCTATATATTTTGATTTAACTATTATTTGTTCTCCAACATGAAAAAAACACTTGACTGGCAACCAGTATCACAGTGATGATGACGTCATATCTGCTTTTGATAATTTTTTGAACAACTGTCTTTCTTGAACAATCAGATCTCAGTTTACCTAGAAATAAACAATTCTATTATTAATAAAAGAAATTGAAATGAATGCATAAAAGATGCTCTAGCATCAACCCTTCTTAGCTAGCCTGTGAACTTTTCAGCCCACACTCAAATACTGAGAAAAATTCTATATCAATATCAAATGCCAAAATAGTAAGGTGTATGCATAATACATCATTGTAATAATTTGATCCAATTTCTTGGAAAGAGTATAAAGCCAACCCACTATCTTCATGTAGCACGAATCCTTCTCTCACACTTAAGCAGCTAAACGTATCCAAGCGCAGAATTTATATCACCTTTGAATATAGTTTTAACAGCCAAGCGGTATAACATAAGACTTGATGCAACAGAAATGTGCTTTTAGAGAAAGAAACTGGGGATACAATGGACCAAACATGTGAGCAACAAAGAGGTTTTGAAGAAAATGGAAACAAAAAGGAAACTTATACTTAACATCAGGAGGATGTAGTTGAGGTATCTGGAACAAATAATACGGAAAGGAAAGCTGATAATCACAGAACGGATTGACGGAAAGAGAGAAAAAGGAAAGCAAGCGCGTAACGCACTTGATGAACTCGGGGAAATGGAGGGTAGAACAGGACTTGGAAGAAATAACAAAAAGACAAAACTTATTAAGAGCTACAACGGACAGAAGGATGTGGAGAGCCATGATCGCTTAGGTCCTGAAGGGACACGGCACATCCAAGAATAAGTTATATAACGTGTAAACTGAAAAATCATTGTTTTCCATCGTTCGTAGTAATGTAGGGATTGATGAGAACAAAATAGGTTCCATTTTTTCCTCGTAAAAAAAAAACAAATAGCAATCAAACGATAAAAGAAAATTTATTTTTTTATATATTAGGGAAATACGTGATGCGCAAAATAAAATCTATTCCGACATTTTATATATACATACCTAGGCATAAAGATACATATATGAATATAAAATAAGGCTCGGATTATCAAATATATTTCTACTTTTTATGTAAACGATAGGAGGCCATTATAAAAATTATTCATGCTTTTTAAGATAAAATAAAGATCGCATTACGCACAAAAAATATATACTCTCGCTTTTTTAATACAAAATATGATTAGCCTGAATACGAGAAGTCGGTACACACACACACACACACACACACACACACACATATATATATACATATATATATATATATATCATGTTGCAAGGATGAGTCACGACAAAATACCTAAGGTCCTCATGTATAGCCAGCTTGTTAGTGGACAAAGGACTGTTGGATGGCCGTGGCTCAGAGCTAAAGAGTAATCTCTCAACTGTCAACGTGCCTCAGACTATCTTAGAGAGTGTTGCCCTGGATAGAAATAACTAGAGATATTTGTGCCAGAGTGGTATCAGAAATTTCGAGATCAGTCTTATTGACCGGCTAAGGGACAAAAGACAACGACATTCCTGTTGCTATGTATCTGGTTTTGTTTTTGTTTTTTGTTTGTTTTTTGTTGTTATTGAGCAACTCGTCCCAAGCAAGGTGGGAGTGTCACCGGCAAGCAAGATGGTTACAGAGAGTGCGAGTAAGGGTATAGAGGAATGTTTGGGAAAAAGATAAAGAGGATGACAGGAATCAAGGTCAAGGCATCAGAAGATGTCGATTGACATTACATTTGAATATTTGAAGACTATTG